ATTAAGGGTGTTTACATTTTCATGCTAGTGTCAGATGTCAGGAGTGGTCATTCATGATAGGGGTAGAATTGCACTATGAACTAAACATACATGAATGGGGGGATTTTCTATTTAATTCAGACATGTACTGTTTATAATATTAACACTTTAAGCACTTTACATGTAGGTAAGTCTAGTACTGCTACCCTTAAGGGGAGGGCTTGTTTAGTCTGCTAGCTTTTGGTTCTTCTGCTAGAGTGACTCTTTGAAGAGTGTTGACWATCTCCAATGTAAACAAGGACGTTAAGCAATGTCACCTACATGTATTCAACAGTAAAACTAAAAGTACTCTTGACTCTCTATTGTAACAGCGATAAAGTCATCCAGAACTCCAAAGAAAAACCAAGAAACATTGCGAGCAAAAAGAAAGCTAGTAATACAGAGAAAAAGAAAACAACAGGCGCAAATTCAAATAAAAATACCAAAAATAAAGTTACTGGTAATGCAAGCAGGGTAAAGAAAAGTAGTGTTGCTGGGGAAACCAAGATTGCTGCTCCTGCTGCTTTAAAATCCCCTAAAGCAAAACCAGAAGAAAGGTTAGACTATGTTGACATTTGACATTTAATGCTGACTTAGTTATAGGACAATTTTCGCTGTGTTGAAAAACACTGACACTTCCACTTCAAAAATGAGAATATTTCCAGGTAAATGTGTAAGCCATAAACAACTAAAAAATTGAGTTGAAAGACAGCCCAATTTGTATGATTGAATTTCTTTTCAGATGTGCACTTTCTGAACAAATTGAAAAGATTCTTTATGGTGCAATGGATCAGAAATGTCCAGTAACTACAAAACTGATAAGAATATTTATCAGTTCCACATTTACAGGTATCAATATTTTTTCACCTTATAAATATTTTTTTCCCTTAAAGGTAGCAATTATTCTATGGGAGCTTTAAATGTTGTACTGGTAGTTTTTATTATTGTGGTATTAATTATTTTTCTCTTATTAACTAAAGATACTGAACACGAACGCAATGCTTTGATGGAAAATGTGTATCCAAAGCTAAAATCCTTTTGCAAAGCCCATGGCTATGGATTCCAGGTGAATTGTGTATTTTTGACAAGACATAACTCCTATGATATTCCTGTTCATTTATGTGTGATGATTTTGTATTTTAGGTAGTTGATATGCGCTGGGGAGTAAGAGATGAAGTCACAGACATGCATGAAACAACAGAATTATGCATTCGAGAGATTAGGAAATGTCAACAGCTATCYGCTGGACCTAACTTTATTGTAAGATAATGTTTAGACTAATTCAATTGCATAATCCAGGCACATTTTACAGTTAACTGTTTGTGTGCATTTGCAATATTCTACTTGTTTATATTCTAGTAATTTTATGAGTTCTTTTTGTATCCAGACTCTCTTATCAGACAAGTATGGTTACTGCCCAATTCCTAACAAGATTGAAGCTCAAGAATTTMAAACGATTCTGGCAGGTGTTGAAGACCAGAGCACAATGGAGCTGTTTTCAAAGTGTGTAATACTTATCAATTAATGATTATTCTGTTCTATTGCTTGAGATGCCACTTTGTAAGGAAGTGTGACCATATTCTAGTTAAATACAAAAATGGCAACACATAGTGTGTAATTGAGAAAATGTAGCACAACACAGTTTTAAAAGTGCTTCAACCTTCGTTGCAAAGGAGACACTATATGTGGGCTAGTGAATTGAATATAAATCAATCTACTCAGTCGGGCTCAGCATAGAAGAGTAAAATTACAAAGGCTAAAATATATTCATGCACTTTCTATTTTCTATACCATTCGTTTAACCTTCATATTATGATTTTTGTCCCTAAGGTGGTATAAAGAAGACCTAAATGCCATTCCTGTTTCCTATATTCTCCAACCTGTAAGCTTTTGGTTTCCAGAATACTTTGCAAATGAACTCAATGACTTTGTCAAGAACAAAGTGCACCAGGAATGCAACAGTGAATTTGAACAGCTAAAGAAATCTCTCATGAATGCTGTTCRAAAGGTTTTTCCTGATGAAGAAAAGTTTCGACAATATGCACAATCAGGTRCGTAATCAGTGCTTAMCAACTACTTTAACATAAAAATGAAAAGAAAATTGATGGACAGATACTTGGCATGAGAAACTGCTTATCTTAAAGCAAGCCTTAMTTTGTGACTTAAGCAGGAAAAACTGCGGTCTCCTCGTTTGTCTCCGCTTAATTCACGAGTGAAAATCGGCAGTTAGTAGACTCCTTTGCAGCCATGTGCTGTGCTTTTTAAAGAAAAAGGCGCATTAACTATTTCCAAAATATCTTGTTATATATAGGTATATATATATATATAGGTATATTTCTCAAATAATCTTTTTTCGAGCTTTCCTTTACTTATCAGCGATGCGCAAGAGCTGCATGCTACATGAAACTGAGGTCACGTTGTTTCTTCTGAACCATAGCGCATTTCGTTGGAAGGCGTTGTAATGTTGTATCGTACAATTTATTGTGCTATCTTTATTGTTCCAGTTTCTGAGGCAGAGATCAAGGAAGGGATTCTAAATTCGTCTTGTGATACCAGTAAATATGGATGGTTTCGCCGACAGTTCACAGACTTAAATCTCACTTCCCAGCCAGAAAGTCCTGACATTTTAAAGTACATTGATAGAACAGAAGAGGACGAGAATGGTGTCAATATCGCGCAACTGCAAGACAACTTAAAAAGCGAGTTAACGAAGGCCGTAAATGCACAAAATATCTCCGTCTACTCGTTGAAATGGACTAAGAACGGTAAGAAGTCGGTTAGTTATACCATAGTTTTATCGTGGCTACGTTCCATGAAATATTAGAATGAAAAAAGAAATGAAAGTGGGAATGAACTGAACGAATGAGGAATTGACGAAAGGCATATGGATTAAAGTTTAAGATTATAGTTTTAACGATGTGAATTGTCCATTGACCAGGAATTGATCCTAACAGTGGAGAACACAAGAAGTATTTGGAACAATACTGCAATGATTTCCAGGCCATGCTAACACGAATGATTACCAAGAGCATAGAAGAAAACAAAAACACGGCGCTTGAAAGTCCYTTGTATCAAGARGTCTGTCAGCATGTGCTGTTTTGCCAAAGTAAAGTAGAAATGTTTTATGGTAGAAAAGCTACTTTACAGAGGATTTGTGAATATGTTAAGAGTTCTTCTCACACTCCTTTGGTGTTGCATGGAAAATCAGGTTGCGGGAAAACTTCAATTATTGCTAAAGCTGCTCAACTTGCACAGGGATGGACAAAGAAAAAAATCTGCATCGTGTTAAGGTAGTGTGATTGATAATAACTTTATTTTTCGGGTGAGAAAACCTGTGTCAAACCGGTCAAATAGATGTGTACTTTTTCTGTAAAATCTTGTTGGAAATATTGACGCAGAAGGTTGCTCAACATTCTTTGTCTCTCCTTCAGGTTTCTGGGTACAACCGCGCGAAGCTCGTCAATTCGACAACTTCTCAACACCATACTACAACAGATTAAATTTATGTACAATCTGGACACYAAAGTACCAAAAGTACGTTCTTTRATTCATTTTATATTTTACATTCATGTTTCTCATTTCATATGTATTGAAAGCATTTGTGGTTATTTTTCYCAGGGTACAAAAAGTTTAGTGCAAGCATTCCCATCCTTCTTGTCTTCGGCCACAAAACAGAAACCACTAGTTGTTCTTCTAGACTCCTTAGATCAACTGTCGCCAAATGGTGGAGGGCGACAACTGTCRTGGCTCCCAAGAACTCTTCCTGACAATGTTAAAATTGTTGTTTCTACTCTACCTGATGTGCAGTATCGCTGTTACCCAAAACTCAGGGTATTTTTGTTATTGAATACTTTCTCTTGTTTGAGGTTGTAAGCTTGTATCCTTCGCGGTTATAGTACTTGTTTGACGTTGATTTTGTTGCTGCTGTACAAGTTTTTTTTCCAAACAAACTTTTAGAAAGGCATTACTACATTTAACAACTAGAATTTGTTAATGTTTAGGCATTTTTTAAAGACCCCAAGACCTTCATCGAAGTTCCAAATCTACCAGAAAGTGACGTACGAGATATCTTAACGTCGTGGCTGAAGATGAAAGGAAGATGTCTCCAACCAGACCAGTTCAAGTGTATAGAAGAAGCGTTCGTACAGTGCCCATTACCTTTGTTTCTCAAGCTTTCTTTTGATGAGGCTTGTTTATGGCATTCGTACATGCCGCCTGAGCAAACACGCTTGCAAGCGACTATACGAGATGCTATCAACACTTTGTTTGAACGGACAGAGCGCCGACATGGAGAGCTTTTAGTTCGTTATGCTCTTGGTTACGTAACAGCAGGTAACGTATTCTACTTGCTACACTTAGATTATTACCAATGACTGAGATTTTTTCGTATGAAAGTAATATAAAGCGATTCATTCGCGCTCAAAACTATATTTTTACCACACTTGTGTGAATCCTCGCGCGCCGATTGGCTGCACACTCCACCATGACGTCTCGCGCGCACACTAAATTGAAAGAAAAGAAAGATTTTATTTAGTTTTTAGACTTTAAACTTTCAGTTTATCGTATTTTATACCTAAAGCGTTTTAACTTTTCTTCCAGCTCGTAGTGGTCTCACAACCAACGAATTAGAGGATATCTTATCTTCAAATGACGAAGTACTCGATGATGTTTTCCAATACTGGGAGCCGCCAATACGCCGACTACCGCCATTAATTTGGGTACGAATACGTGCAGACCTTGATTCGTATCTCGTGTCCAGGGGAGCTGARGGGGCACGTGTAACCAACTGGTATCACCGTCAATTCACCGAAGCTGCCAAAGCTCGTTATCTTTCAGATGACCTTCAGAGGATCAGAATACACTCTGATATTGSCAGCTATTTTATTGGACAGAATGTCGATGGTAGGTTGTCAGTGAACTATCTTTGTTTCCTGGGGAGGGGGGGGGGGGGATGCTCGGAATTTGAATTTAATAAGATGCATGAATTATTACTCAATATTACACTGTTAGTTTTCTCGTCTTTTCAGATAACGCCGCCAGCAATGGCGGAGCGTCCACAGGAAAACTGATATATTCACGCTTGTCAAGTATAGCATCCCAGCCAATTAAACTATCGCGCAATCAATACAACTTGAGAAAGCTTCATGAGCTCCCATATCACCTCATCATTAGTAAACARTGGGMTGTTCTTAAAGMGAAAGTWCTCTGTAATTATGAATGGCTTGAAGCAAAGATTCGCGCAAGGTCACTCAGGTACTATTTACTGTCTGATTTCTTATCATCATCTTGATAAATACATAGTCATATCGAAAACACTATAGAAATGAAGAGTTTTTAGGTGTAGTCTTGTTTTTRCTGAACCTTACAATACTCTTGAACTCTTGAAATACAAAACYTTTYTAATRAAAGTAAAAACAAAACGCGCWCACATGCACTGTAGCGCACTTTTTRACATAAAACGTCATCTTTTGAATCWACAGAGATGTCCTAGACGACTTTCATCAGGCTGCAGAAATGTACGCTGACCAGGACATCGCTGACGTTAACGAGTTGTTAGAACTAGGGAAAAACGCAATTGTGTCAGACTCCAGACAGTTAGCCTCGCAGCTTGTTGGCCGTCTGTATGACGTAAGATATTTGCGTTGAATTCATAGTACACCTCTTTGCCAAAGTGTTKAGCCAAATAAACATAAAATATAGAAGAAGAAATTTTAATTAGGACTACCATGCTAACTTTTAGCTATGTTTTCGTAAAAGTAACGCTAAACCTGTTTAATGAACACTTATAATGAAAAATTATTTTTGTTAAAAACCTAAAAAGCTCAGCTAATTGTTCAACGTGAGCGTCAATGTCAGTGAGCTCAATATAATTTCATTTTGTTTTCAGTTATTTATTGTATTTCGGTCAAAGTTTTGAAAACAATTGTATCAATGTTTTTGAAATCAAAAAGACGAGCTAACTTTTTTTCTTACCTTTAGAAACAAGTTCAAGATTCATCTTCGTTATATTCTTCGTCGCTAAGTAGTGTAAGTACACAAAATTCATCCTTCCAAGAGTGGTGTAGAGAATTCTCCATTAGATCGCAGCACATTTAAGTGTGCTTTCTTTTGCTGCATTATTGTACAAGTTCCGTACACTTTAATTGCAGACACTAACCAAACTCCTTGAGGACGCTCATAGTCCAGAGGAGCCGAGTCTACTGCCAAACCGTGCGTTTCTTACGCCACCAGGAGGTCAGTTGGTMAGAACTCTAGTAGGACATAAATCAGGTGTTCATGGACTGGCAATTTCACATGATGGAAATTATCTAGTCTCAGGTAAATTAAACAGACATCGTAGAGGCTTGAAATGACAATGGCTGTTCTCTCCTAGTGACGTTGTACAATATTAAGCGAAATGCACCCTGGGGTTGAAGAAAATATAAACTGAAACTATGTAGTTGTGCATAAAGATGTTTTGTGAACAACGAGGCAGATGACTTATTACTTTGGTATAGATCCATCTTTAATGTCTTTCGCAAAGCATTCTCTACAAGTGGTACCCTCCTTCGCTGTTATATTTTTATTAAAAATCCACCATCTTGATTTAGCGATACCATGATGCACTTCGCCAAAATAAACATGACGTCATCAGGGAGAAGAGCCAATAAGGTGTGGAGTTCTATTTAGGTTCTTACGATGTTTTTGTGTAGGTTCACAGGATGGTTCAGTCAAGGTGTGGTCGATGAAAGACGGTCAATTAATGGTGTCTGTCACGGATCTTGGCGAGGATGTCAATACTATAAAATGCTGTAATGAAGACAAACACATTGTAACATCGTCTAAACGAGGTTTGGCTGTGCTTGACTTCGATACTGGAGAGATTCTTAGAAGGTATGTMMTTTATGTRAATGAGGGAGGAACAGTAGTGTTCTGTGATRCTGWCATTGGCAAGGAAGTGTCAAACCGCCTTCAAAAAAGGAGCTTTCAATGTTATGACTATGTCAAGTATATCTAGTGTCTTAGACTTATTTTTGTAGTTTAAATTGTGTTGCAAACTTTAAATTTTGCTTTTTACTTACCCTACACATCTTCTCTTCCTTTCTCTTACCTTTTCTTCTTGTTTCTTTCCTAGTTTCAATGTAAAGTACTTTGATCTTCCTCCGCCTTTTACATTGGTTGGTCTCAATGGAACAATAGCAGTAACATTCACCGAGAAGAGTCTTAAATCGTTTGACATTTCAAATGGAAACACTACTATGAATCTAACCGAYATTCAACCAGTTGGTAAAGCTGGCCAGAACAGCTTACTCGCTTCCTACCACAACACAGTGCTTTGTAACTCTAAGAAGGATGAAAATTCTCTAAATGTTATTGATGTAAAACAATCAAAAGTACTTAGATCTTTTGTAATTTTTGACAATGATGACGATGAAAGTTTTCTCAATTTAACTGACATTGCGATGAGACAGGACGATGAARTAATCGTAGCGAAGAAGATGAGAGTTGACCTTTATGATGTCCTAACTGGAGCTAAAATCAAGAGCATTCGTTGTAAGCTGGATGACTGGATAAGTCACATGTCCATTTTACCAGAAACCGACCAATTGGCTTTTCCTAAAAGAAATAGCTTTTCTTTGCTGAATCTCAGCACAGAAGAGCGACGGGAAGTCTCAGAAAAGTCCGACTCCATCTCAAGAACCGTACTTGCTGCAGAAGATGTTATTGTCACATCCGGGGGAGACAATATTGTTCGTGTGTGGGATCTGACAAGGAAGGACGCCCGCGAAACAGGAAAGCCAGAGACTTTATTGCACATTTACACAGTGCCTAACGACCCTCGTCATATTATCACCGTGGGGAGACTGGGAATGGACAATCACGTGATTACTGCCTGGGACTTGTCTACTTTTCTTCCAGTGTGCAAAGTTAATAACATACAATCTAATTACATCAAAATCATCAGCGATCGAAGAGCTGCTCTTCGCGTCGAGAACCAAGTAGCCATAATAGATCTTGGCGCATGGAAAGTACTGCGTTTTCTCAAAGGTAAAATTCCCGACTTCATGATTGCTGGCACACCAGACCTCTGTGTAATAAACGAGAAAAGAGAAATTGTGACGTACGCGTTTGATTACAAACGTCTTAAAGTATACGACATTGAAACTGGAGATGAAACTGGGGAGATGGTTAACTCCCGATGCGAAAACACAATCCAAGCTTTCATCGTGAGTCAGAAAGGCAATGTTTTAGCACTGAATGACGAGAAGCTTGATATGATTTACATATGGGATGTGATCAATCGGCAGCTTTTATTTCATATCCAGCGTGATGGCTACACGAGTTATACGTTGACGTTGGCTGCGTTTACTCCCAATGACAAGATGTTTGTAGTCGCTTTGAGAAAACCAGACGACTGCAAACATCCTTCGGTATGGAACYTGGAAACAAGTAAGTACGAACTGTTTACTCATTATTTCGGAATGGTCTTTTGAAAGCCCAAATCTTCATTGTTTGTACACAAACGTTTTACAGTTCTCCATGGTCACTTTATTAAAATACCTCAGCATCTTAGCATTCACTTGCTCAAAATTTTATATTCAATAACTTTTAGAGACTCTGGTCCATGACTTGAGATATCCCAAAGACACTGATACCCGGTCCCTCGCAATCATTGACGACCGAATGGCATTGACTACACATAAAGACACGGCTAACATTGTTATATGGGATCTCGTCAATGGTATGAAAAACTAGGAATAGACGACATCATTTTCAGCCGGGGCCTGGATTATAATGACAGAGGCTTAAAAACCCAGGCCCCAGCTGAAATTACTGTGTCATGTTCAAGTTTCATTTTGAAAGTCTGCGTATTTTAGATAAAATAATAGAGGTTTAAGCAATAATACTTTAATCTTTTTGTGTCAAGAGCCGCACTTAAGTTAAATTACATTGAATGAAATGACAGAATTCTGACTGAAAAACGTTGCTTACGGAATACATTTTTAGGAATCGCTTGCCATGTGCTTCCCAGCATGCACTACGGTCCACGGATTGACGTAGCCAGTTCCGGTGGACGCTATGCGCTGACCCATGATGGCAAATCCATAGTATTATGGGATATCCAGGAAGGAAAACAGTTGTCGAGCTTTACTGCCGAAAAGGTAAAAGTTGAACTGTCCGCAAGGTCGTTGAGTCGGAAGATATTTTACGTCGAATGAGTCCAAGAGTAAATTGCATGTATTCATTAAAACAAACAAACATTGAGTTATAATTTTTGGGATTAATTGCCCTATCGCATAATTACGTCACATCAAAACATTCTATTGTTTTAACGCTAAGGATTATGGTYGCCAGAGRKGATCAGAGTGACTGCATATCAAATAAAATGTAGATGAGCTATCATTGATAAATGATTTACATCAAAACACTAAAGTTTTGTTTTCGGAAGAATATTAATAGATACAAATTTCGAGTCTGAGCATCTATCCACAATGTAAACATACTGTGACGTCATTATGCTATAGGGGAATTTAATTTTGCGGACAAAAGCTGAATAAGTGGTATGTTATTGGCACAGTAGCTTAAAACAAACGCAGGAAACCCATGAAATAAAACCAAACTAAATACTAACAAATAGCRGCTATTTAGAGACAATTTGTCWGTATCAAAGAACCAGAACACAACGAAGATGAATCCACATGGGACCATTTTTCATTCATCTTTTTTGCGTTCTGGCTCATTGATACTGACAATTTGTCTTTAAATAGGCGCTATTTGTTAGTATTTAGKTTGATATTATTTCATGGTTTTCCTGCGTTTGCTCTATATGCAGCCATTTAAATATCTTGTATTCAGATCACCACAGTGCAGCCATTGTTTGATGGTGACGTCATTGCAGTTGGTTGTGAAAGTCTTCTACCTTTGGTTGTCCTAAGAAGACAAGGCAGAGACTTGAAACCATACCAGTGCCCTGTCGAAGGAACTAGAGCCATGACTTTCCCTGGTAAGCTATAGAACTGAAGAATGCTTTAACTAGACCATCCCCTGTCGACTGGGAAACGTTTCTTAGTGGATGATTTCTGCCAACCCGAAGAAATTTTGACCGCATTGAAAAATTTCCGGATATAGCTTTAGTATCACGAGTACAATAACTGTGATATCTGTTATAAGGATATTGTATTTTGATTTCTATTTGTTTCAGACATGAATGTCACCCTTGAAGGAATCAACCAATAGCAAACAGGTTAGTATATTTATATGTAATATGRCTCCATGYYGTCCAATGWWARYAGCGAGAGATTGCGTTTATGGGCGAAAACKTAGTGATTCACCAAAATTGGTCATTGAAAAGTGATTTGTTTTTATCAGATACCAGATATATAACGATGGAAATAGTATGGTGGCTAATCAACCTATGAAACAAAGCCGATTAATATAACTTCACCTTTGGAATCCAAGAAGTACAAAGGGAAACAATCAAATTACAAACAACTGAAGAACAAGCTACATGCAATGTGATTGGTCAATGAGCGTGGTTTTAATGAATATTTTTAGTTTTAACCCTATTTTTATAACTTAGTCGCCTTTTTTATTTCGTATTTGTCTAAAGTTTATCGTGCACGACATCATGACAATCAAATGCACGCGCTATAAAAACACTCTTCAAATTATTAAATGGAAAGCGATAAAGTTATGTTAAAGCGAAGCCTATTTTTTCCCTGTTATGGTTGCAGTTCTTTAGCTGAACAACATGTAAATATTGTATCAGTTCTGTGCAGTTTTAAGATGTTAAACAAGTCATGGCTGTTTTGTTTTAGTTTCACGTCAACAGCACACTATTGATATTTCGGTTAACTTACCAAATAAAATAGAATTAATTAAAGACGAAATAATTATTTTGTATTTTGAAGCCTTGTCTTAAGTTCTTTTTTGCATGAACACTCAACCAGAATATCGAAAGCGGCCTATTGCTGTTTGTCCCAATATGGATAGTTTAGACTCTGTTGTTCTAGGAATTTCGACCATAATATTTGATGGTTCCAATATGGATAGACTCTGTTGTTCTAGGAATTTCGACCATAATCTTTGATGGTTCCAATATGGATAGACTCTGTTGTTCTAGGAATTTCGACCATAATATTTGATGGTGATAAAGTAAGCAAGTTTTGAGGCTTGTTTTTCCCAGTACATTCATAATTCTAGTAGGACGCCATAAATCTCAAAACCAGACAGGTACAAAGCATGTCTTCCTGACGAATTCTTTCCTGTTTGGTGGATTCTRAAGTACCTCATTGCCTCGAGCCTTCCTTCAATGGTCCAGGTTCCTGTRTAAAAGGGATAAGCACCCTTYAGGCCTCGGTCATTCTCATGTCTTCGCAAAACCATCCAGTTCCTTCCATCACGTGATCCCTCTAGATTCCAGTTCCTTAGAATTGACAGTCCATTGTCACGGCCATGACGTAATGTATAATGWGTAACAAACAGCGCATRCGTCTCGCCCAAGTCAACTTGCCACCAGGAATGTTCAATATCGGCTGTGCAGCTATGTGTACCTTTGCGTGGATCAAGAATATCCAATGRATGACCTTGATGACATGACGATCGACTCACTTTGATTCTACAGTTATCGTTGCTGGCTGGATTGATGAACGGTGTTGTGTTGAAATTGGTTCCTAAAGTGTAGATRATGCCATTGCGGTCAAACTCTTTTTTGAAGTTGAAAACTCCTGTAGTGAAGAGAAATACACGTTTAATATCATGGCGAACTCTAAGTCTACTATATGCAACTATTATTTTGTGTGGTCGCCACGCTTCACTCGATTCGCAAAGAAATTTGCGACGACACGAAAGAGTAGTTGCACAAATGACTACTCGTTAAGGCTCACGTTTATGGGGAAAATATGAAGCATGTAAGGAGAGATCGAGCTCGCGGTTCTCCGTGAGACCTTCAACCAGTACCTTTTGTGTCTCCTTTGTCAGTGTCTATTATTGTGGAGTGTCCTCTTTGGACACCTCCGGCTTAGGGTAATGTTCATCCCAGTTCAGACACGCCTTTTCTGTTTTACCTCCAGCCATATTTATTTATCTTCTCAAGTGTTGATGGAAGATAAAGAATTGTATTCCCAAGTGGTCTGAACTGGGACAAACATTACGCGATCCAAGGACTAGGTGTATTATTGAAAGCTAGCACACTTTTTTAAAGTAAACTTTCCTTACTTCCAGGCAATGTCTTCCATCGTGTCAACTCATCTCTAAGCTCTTCTTGAATGTCTTGTTGTTCCCTTAAAGTCGCCTTCAATTTGCTMATGTCCTCAAGACCTYTAYTYMTTTCATCTTTAGTCTCTTTGAGCTCAGCTTCYAGRTCTTTCAGYCTMGAGCYCTTTGACTTAACATCTTCTTCWAGCTTTTTCTTTAGYTGTTTCTTCTCGGAGTTTGCTTTCTTTTTATATTTKTCAAAGTCTTTGTTTACTGTCTTCATAGTTTCACGCTCCTTGTCCAATTCACTTTTCAAGCGCGCTATAGTTAATTTGTCTTTCTCAACTTGAGATACAAGTTCTTCTTTAGCGATTTTTATGTCTTTTATTTCACTGTCGTGTAGGATAGTCATTTTATTGATCTCGTTGGCRAAGTCTTCCTTAGCTGTAGTATACTGGTCCTCAAGCTTTTGCAGGCTGGATTCCAGATTTTTCTTTTCTCKGTCATATTTATCAGTCAATTCTTTCAATTTRCATTCTGTTTTTCTTGCCTTTTCCTTAAGTTGGTTGCTTTCTTCTTCCTTCKCTTGTTGAAGTTCMTTRTACTCGGATTCGTATTCGATGCAYTTGSTRCAAATATTGAGTCCTGTATCTGAGKGGAATAGAAGGAACACATGTAAGCTGTGAAGAGTTTGGCAGGCAGTTAAGAAAGACCGTGGTTAGTCGTTTTCATAATTATTTGTTAGCTGTTTTATTGGTTCTTTGTGTTTGTACAATCTTACCTGAATCCTCCAAGGSCGTCGTTGCTTTATCTATTTGAGACTTCCGTTTTTCTTCATASATTTTCACTTCTTCTTCAAGTTTCTTGCAACATTCCAAAGCCAAGTCTCTCTCGRTCTTGAGATGATCTAGTTTTCTTTCAAGTTCTATGATTTCAGCATTATGKTGTATRCATTCAAGCATTTCYTCRCATTGACCGTACAGATCGTCTATGTTGTTATTCACGTTGCTTGTTTGTGTAACATCTATACCTTCATAACTCCTTTCAGTCCTTTCGCTGTTTGTTCTTCTTCGYGGTAGATCAACAAGTTTCTCTCGATTTTTCGTYTCGTCGGCGCTGACTTTCCTTGAATTAAAGTGATGAATATCTTTAGGCGTAACATTTCTTTGAACATCRATTTTAAGASCCTCAATTTCCTTGCTTTTGCAGTTCAACTCCTTCTCCAGCTTAGAGCATTTGTTTTGAAGGRCTAACTTCTCTTGTTTTCCCGCTTCTAAATCTTTTGTTAATCTTTCCTTTGTGTTGTTGAGCTCGCTGATATTAAAAATCAGTTTCTCTTTTTCGTGTTTTGATTGATGTAGAAGTGCCTTGTGAAGACTTTTCAGTTCTTCAAGTTCTTTTCGTATATTGTCTTGCTTGTTTTTCTCAGATTCTAAACACACGCAGGCCACACGAAGTTCGTCTCGTAGCTTTGCACTGTAGGAACGTACACGCCCTAGCTCTGATTTCATCTCTGAAAACTTTTTGTCCATTTCTGAAATCACAATTTATGGTTGGTTAAAAATGGTGACCATGCACCTAGTAACCATAGTAACCATATGCCCGGCAAGTGAGCACAGATTGCATGATAAAATTATATTCTTGCAATTGTGTGGCCAATCGCCTTCCGCAAAACAAAGCAGGAAGCCCACATCATGAAACCTCTGCACACGCCCCGTGTGTGTGAATCGAAACCCTTCTTTATAGCCTCAATAGTGTCCTTCACGGTTACCTGCGCCATCTTGAAAGGTAGCCGTGCCTTGTCATCGAAGCGAGACAACCGTTGAGCGTGCAATGATAGAAACCTTCTTTCACACCTATAGACAATTATTCACAGGTATCTATCATTGCACGCTCAACGGTCGTCTCGCTTCGATGCAAAGGCACGGCTACCTTTCAAGATGGCGCAGGTATCCGTGAAGGAGACTATTACGATAGTACAAGGAATGAGATTTTCTCGTTAACGTGAAGCGTTTCATTAAGCAACTATTACTGAGAGACTACCTTCATCATCGCGAAGCAAATCACCCAAGTGAGGCTGCACATTTTCCAAGGCATCGACCAAACACCGGAATGCTTGAGGTCCTCTTCTAGGAAGAATATCAAGCATCTTATCCACCTGGTCTTCTCTGGTTGGTTGGTTCTTGATTTGCTGCTCGTCATCCGCATCAAGGACATTTACCAAATATGGCATAATTTTCCTTGGTTCCAGATCTCTTCGAAAACTCACAGTATGACGTCGGAGGAGCGATCGATGACGTTCGTCCATGATTGGCTTTTATTATTCCAATAAGTATTATTAAGCTACGAAAGAAGTGAAATGATCTCTTTGAGCTGTGGGTCGATTAAGTCAGAATACATATGGCAAGCGGAATCCCTTGCGGGACGTGGCGGAGTCAAGTGTGAAGCGCGTTTTCAGTTTTAAGTGAAAATGTTCGAATCGGAGTGAGAAATGCGTCGGAAAGTGAAGAATCGGACGTATTGTAATTTTTTCGACTACCACATTTACTATTAATGAATTAAATAATAYAAAAAAAAGAACATTCTGTGTCTATATTCCGTGATCGCGATTTCGATTCCGACTGAAGTGAAACCTTCCACCTCGAATAGAAATACTGTGACATTATAAATGACATCAAAAATATCGTGAGATGTCAGAAAGTTGTTGTTATCACCCTTTAGAGAAGAGGAAGGAGCTCTTCGGGAATACTAGTGATAAAATACA